TCAGATGCAGCAATACGTCTTGTGTCGAAAGCTTAGGGCGGAATTCGAACATTTTATGCGGGTAGAGGGTATGCTCTTCCGTGTACCTTTGTAGTCGAGTGTGAATAACATGCTCGAGTACTTTGCTGACACAGGATGTGAGAGATATCGGCCGAAGGTTCTCGATAGTAAGTGGTTTTCTTACCTTAGGTATCAGAATGACTCTGGCGGTTTTACAAAGTGTTAGTATATATCTCGACTCCCAAACAATATGCACATAAGATATGAGCGTTTCAAGTGACTGTTAGTCAAGGTTTCATAAGATTTTTTTGTAATTTTATCTGGGCCAAGTGCTGAGTGGGGTCTCAGTTGTGAAAATGCGGACCGAACTTCCACTTCAGTAATCTAGGAGTCGAGGGCTGGATTATCCCCTCGCCGCCCCCCAGTGTAGCATGGGAGATCAACCGAAGTAGCACTGACTATGTACCGACTAGATAGGTCCTGGATAAGGTCTTCATTGGTACCGGGATAAATCTGCAGAGCAGTGGTTAAGGAGTGGCCCTGATCAGTTTTTGTCGATGTTGGGTCTATCATAAGACGAAAAATATTCCATGTTTTGGGCACGTTAGGTAAGCGTTCCATAACGTTACAAAGCTGATGCCAGTTCTGGTGGGAGATTTGAAGTGCGTACTGTTCAATTTGACGCACAAATATAGCAATGCGTTTGCGTAACGAGCCTTTCAATTTGCTGGAGTTATAGCGCTTGCGCAGACCAGCGAGGGCCTCCCACAAGTGCAGCAGTCTGGTGTCTGCAGTGTCACCTACGGCATCTTCTACGGGAGTCTTGGTAGCACGCTTAACGTCTCGTAGTAAGGAAGCTGTCCATTGGTCGATCGAGGTGGCAGATTCAGGAAAGGGTGATGCCCGCAATTCACGGAAGACATCCCAGTCAACTAGGGCAGGCTGTCTGGCTTTCCTGCGCTGCGCCTTGACGATTGTTTGTATTATATAGTGCTCGCTGCTCAGATGTTAATGAAGGCTGGACCACTCTGCATGCGTTATGCTCGTAGTGAAAATCAGATCAGGAATGGTGCCCCTGGCAACGCTGTTGCCAAACCGCGTAGGGTAGGCCAGGTCTGTGATAAGGGTGTATCTGAGATTCGGGGTGCCTTGTCACAGCATTCGACCTTTTCTGGTGTCGTGGATGTAGCCCCAAGTGGGTGAAGGAGCGTTAAAATACCCTACTACGAGGAGGGGGAAAAGTCTTGCCAACCTCTTGACATAAGAGAGGAGCTTGTGGAAACGATCTGGTTGTCGTGGGCTGCTGTAAATATTGACCAAAACAGACTTGTGGGTGTCTGGCGAGATTAAGAAAGGATTTGCAATCTAATGTACGACGCTCTGTCAGAGAGCGAGGGGTGTTGAATAACAGGAATATTTCGTTTCACGAGGGTGCTAAAGACTTCGCGACTGTCGGGGGCTTGAGCAGCCGTAAAGAAGGCTTATCCAACCAGGTTAGCCTGTCCACGCAATTCCTGTAAAGTGATAATATCTGGTGTATCTGTTCCATTGAGTGTCGATGAAAATTGTAGCTGCACGCCCCTCCTACGGCGGTAGCCACGGCAGTTCCACTGCCTGATGCAGTACTGAGTGGGCGGATTACTCATGGCCATCTTGGTTAATGTGATTATAAGGCTTCTGATGTGAGTGTGAGCGAGAGCGATGTGTACGCCGCTTAAGCTCTGCAATTCTGCTGTTGTAGCTGGCGAGAAGACTCGAAAGTGTGGCTTCAAGGTTGTTTTATATAATTGTCGCCCAGACTTCCAGCATTCAGTTAAGCATTAGGGTGAAGTGGTGCCCGAACTTCACTTTGAGGGTCGAATCGAGGGATAGATCTAGTGCTTGCTGGATGTTTTGTGCAAGAATTCGCGCTAACTGCCGTTTAAGTATGGTTTCAATCGTCTCGTGGCTGCTGCGGTACGGATTCCACAGATAAAATGAGTGCTGAGCCAGTTGGTGGTTGCGACCCTGGTGTGGCTGGTCCTTCTGTGTCCGGAGCTTTTCGTTTCCGGGGGGGGGGGGGTTGAATGGGCGTGGAGGTCTGCAGAGTGAAGCAAAGAAGAGGAAGTATGGAGGTTTCCAAAGAGCAGCGTTTTCAACGCGCAGTTTTTTAGCTAACACATGGAGCGAACGCCGCTCCTGTGTGATAGTACTTAACCTAGTTACCTTATTAGGTGTGGTCATGTGTGTAGTTGTGGGCGCTGTAATATGTATATGAGCAGGTTGGAGGCAATGATAGCCCAGCCTACCGTAGTTGTGGCGAGGGTGAGACCAGGTTGCTGCTGCTCAAAGGGGGGACAATCCGAAGCCTCGGGTGCCGTAGATTCCAATATGAGCTCCTGGGGCTGATTCTAGCGCCGCTACTTTCATCGGTTGCGTGTGCCATGACGTTTCGAGCTTTTACTGGGACGGCAGGAACGGGTGTCGCTAGGTTTCACTTCTTCGCGTTCGAGGTGAGCATCTCGCGTAGTGATCGCGGTTAAGGGGTACTATGATGGAGTTTAGCGTTTTCTTGGTGACGATAAATGATAAGGCGAGGTGTCTGGGAGCGTTGAGGACACGTTTTGTCACCTGTCTTGTGGGCTCTAACGCACAGAAGACACGTAAGCGTGCATGGATAAGCAGTATAGCAGGGTTGGCTGTGCCACGCAGCTTGCAGATTACGGGATTTGATTTGGGGCAGACATCTGAATGGCGGCCGACTGCCTCGCATTTGTCGCAGACTGTGGTACGCTTCTTATGTATCTAACATTTGTATTGGGCTCATCGATACTAGACATGGAAAGGGACTTGGTCGCCAAGGAATAGATAGAGTACCGTGTTTGCCTTGCCCAATCGTGAGCTTGTAATATCGTGGGGCTGCGGTAATTACCAAGACTTGCTGAGATGCCTTCAGGAGAGTCGTAGGGGGCCATATTGTGCATCACTCTATTTGCTGTGTTCTCAGGGGAAGTATTGTACACTCTAAATAATTTCACACCTAAAAGGTGTAAAACGGGTGTACGCATTAAAAACACCCATATGAACACCCTTTTTACGCCCAATTTTTAAAATTTGGGGTGTTCGTAAATAAAACACCCACAAAACACCCCATTTACACCCTTTTATTCGGGGCGTGATGAACAAGGCTAAAAATAATTGATTGATATGTGGTGCTTAATGACCCAAAACCACCATATGATTATGAGAGACGCTGTAGTAGAGGGCACCGGAAATTTCGACTACCCGGGGTTCTTTAACGTGCACCCAAATCGGAGCACACGTGCCTACAAGGCTACAAATGCACGACATTTTCGGGCCGTTTTGCTTATACTGTTAATATACGTTAACCATCTTGATACCAGCAAGGCTCCCACTACTACCTGCTTGCGAGTCTAGTAATGAATCGAAGCAGAAAGTAATGTGGCCGAAACGCAGTTTGCATCGATAAAGCACGCAAACTACTATAAGATGGAAGATACAATAGCAGCGATGCTTGTTCAATAGAGTAAGGGCCAATTCTCCTATACCTGTTTCTTTCATCTGTGTCATTTGCGTGATTAGTCAACACTCGCAAAGTACACTGATTTGCCTGAACGAGGTAATGTTGCGCACATTGGTGTAGCCATGCATAGAACACTCCCCCCTCCCCCCGTCCCCCATCCATAAGATCGAAGCTTTTAAAGCTGAATATAAAACGTCCACCACCTGCAAAAAAAACAACAACAGCACAGTTTAGCCATAACCACCACGTCAGCAGGCCATCAGGTCCCTTAAAAACGAACAATGACATCATGTATTTTTAGCAGGCCCATTTTCGTTAATTACTGTAGTGAATGTTCCTCTTCATGTGTCAGCAAAAGTGCGTCATGGAAATTAGAAAGAGGACACCGACCAGAAAGAAAAATGCAGAATAAGGAGATTTCGGTGACTTTGACGCAGCCTTGCTCACAATGACGGGATCCTTGTTGACTAAAATGCGAACAAAGCTCTCCTCAGGGGAGCCGAAACACATTCTATAGTTCTCTCTCTCTCTCCGTATTTTTTTGTTGATCTCCTTCTTTTAATTTATGTAACTTCCCCAGCAGACGTGCTTCGGTCAAACCCTTGCCTTTGTAGGTAGTGAGAAAACAACATTGATGAAATCATTTTCAGCCGCGGTCTTGTTCCAAGGACAGCAAGATAAGTACAAATGTATTGTCGCAACGTGAAGACAGAAGGAGTAATTAACAGGTTGAGAAAGTAGCAGCAGGTCAGTATTTTTATTTAATGCGTGCCAGAGTTTTCCTCTTCTTTCTCGTTATTGCTTCCTGCATAAAAGCGTGCAGATGCGCATATGGGCTGTCGTCTTCGTCCTCCTATCAGTATGCACGTGGCAATATGTTCTGATCGTATAGTGTGATGGCCGATGCATGCAATGTTGCAATGTCTTTACCGAAATCAAACTGCTGATGAAATATCGCCTGCGTAACCTTGAATGTGCAGTCCCTAAAGATCCATAGAGCTATGCAAAAAGCATCAGATTAGCTTTTTTACCAAAATTCACTACATTAGGTCTGTGAAAGTGCGCTAAACATGGCTCCTGAATATTACAAATGCGCTTTCTGACTAGTAGCTCGTGCTGGCCGCACTGCACCGTTACAAAGTTCACTGCGATTCAGATGCACTGTTAAAGAACGAGTATAACGCAACCGATCAATGCCGCAAGAAAAAAAGCAGCGCCCGCGCTATCGGCAGAGGGCCGGACTTAGCGTTAAACCGCATCTAGCCGGTCTTAAAGCGCGCCGATGCCAGGAAGTCTCGTCGCCTAGACAACCTTGGCTGCCCGGTATTGCTGCGTGCCGGGCGCACAGCGTGGGAAAGGGGTCGAGTTCGTCTTACTTGTCACTGCGTGCGCTGGAGAAAAACCCTCCCGTGTGTGTGCGTGTGGTGCGCGTGGCTTCTCGATCGGTAGAGTTTATTAGTCGGTGTTTAGTTTGAAATGTGCCTGTGCTCTGTGCTCCACCAGTGTGTTCTGTCAGTGCTGATTATTGCGAAGGTGCACCAATCCTGAAGACAAGACCTGTGAATTCATATTGCGGACCACTCGAAATGAATTCGTGAGTACCGCTATCACGTTGTTCCGTTCAGCGCTTTGTTAAGTACCTGAGCACGAGAATAACGCCTTCAAACAATTTTGTTTTCAACTAGGTGATGAGAAATCAGCATTTGTTTACTTAGCGAAAATATTTCTCCGAACTGTTTCACGTGGATTATGGCGAAGTGTGATTGTGGGGAAGGGTTTTTTTGTTTGTTTGTTTGAATTTTTCGGAGTACAAAGCAGACTGAGCGTGCGCCGCTGATGTTCAGCGCAGAAATTGAACAGATTTTTGTGGTGCGCTTTGTTGGCAGCCGTTTTTAACGGGGCCCGCTCGTGCTGCACATCAATTTTTTATTACTAATTAATAGATGTGTGGGGACGGCGCATGTTAGCTCTAAGCATCAACCGTATGTAAGACGCGTATGCCTGGGCATGTCGGTAGTTCATTTACTTTCTTTTCTTTTCTTATTGCACAAAAAGACCGAGAAGGGTAATTAAGGGCGTGGTGTCCATGTCGTTCTTTTTGGTTCTTCCTTTCGTGCGGTAACACTGCCGTGATAACTCGGGTTGACGCGTCGGGTGACAACATACAATAATGCTTCGCGTTAGGTGCGCCTCGCGAAGTTTGCCTATTGCTAATACATTCAACTTCTTTGAATTTGTCTGCACCGGTATTTTAGTTCACCCGCAACGTAGCGTGACACTGCCGACAGCCGTGCCTATGTAGCGGATCGAGCACTCAAGCTGGACTTTTGTTTGAACAGACCTTTAGTCTGTGTGTGCGGTCGAATTGCCTACTTGAACAGCGCAAACGCTTGTTTGAACGTAACTGCTAACGTTCGAGCACATTTTAATCAGATTGTTTCCATCATGTGTACTTTCAAAATATTCTTGTTATTCAGAGTTTTATTGCCATCGCCTCGCTTTGGTGTTTAACTTCTCTAAGTGCTTCAGAAGGTAAAGGTATTTTCGCTATCTGAAGCGTATTATTAGTTTTTTTGTTGCACAAAAACTCTTTGATGTTATGCATACTGCACGGTATCTAAGCATGTGGTGCATCCCAAATGTAAGACTGGGCAGCATATTTTTCTGGGAAAAAAACACGCACAGCCACTGAACAGCCTACGCTGCATCGGAAAGGAGTTATGCTTTCTCACCCTGACAGCATGATTGAAACAAATGACACTAATTTAGCAGTATGCATTTGTAATTGAGTGAAGGTAACAGGGTCACTTTATTCGACATTTCCCAGCCAATTTCGTGGCTAAGGCAAATGTGTTTGAAAAAAAAATCGTGCTGATTTAATGCACTGAAAACAGCAAGTGCTTGAATATTTCGGCAAGAAAAAAGTTTTTGGCCACGTGGTTGCCTTTCAAACTTTCCGGAATGTTGTTTGAGTGTTGTTTGTGGAAAAAAATATTTTACAAGTACCGCACCTTTTTTTATACCAATTTTTGTACATGATTGAAAGGTGTTTGAAACTCAGTAATTATAATACAAAGTTTCGGCCACATACGTCTGCAAAAATTCAGCCAAAGTTGGTTATGTTTGCATTTTCTCATTGCTATACGGCACTTTGAAAGAATATCTGAGCTGTGACTACTTACTTCACAGAAAAGATATTTTGATGAAACATTATTTTTAGACATCTTAAGCTGTTAACCTCTATGTGAAAAGATCACTTATTTCACAGAATTGTCATTTTTGTCCGTATTGAGACGAAATTTGCACCATGTGGTGGTCCAATTAAAAGTCACCTTTTACCTAAATTGAAAGCGAATAAACAGTCCTTTGTATGTGACAAGTTTCATCATTACAATTTCTATTTCAAGGAATAAAATACTTTTTTGAATTTTGCCATCAACGGCGATGGGGAACTTCGAGGCGTCGGCTGCTGTATGACCAAATGGCAAGTGGGACACTTGGAACTTCAAAAATCATTTAGGGGCAAAGCTTTTGAGGCCGTGGGTCACTCCCTCCTCTGTAGTCCTAATAGTATTATGTAGCCACTTGATGAGTTGTACAATGAATAGCGTTAGTGGTTTTCACAGCACATACACGGACGAAAAAATGATTCGTGGGGCAAATCGTTCGTCCGTACATTTGTGCTTTCGTCCGTTCGTCTGTGCATCCATCCGTCTGGGCTTCCGTGTGTCGGTCTGTCCGTGAGTCCATTCGTTCCATCTTTCTGTTCGTCCATACTGGCGTCTGACTGTCTGTCCATCATAGTGTGCGTCCGGACGGACGAACGCTACGCCCCACTTATCATTATTCACTCTGTGGATATGCTGTGATTTTTTTCTCAAAACATAAATTGCTATGACAAAATTTGGCACATGAAAAGAACTGTTTATTTGCTTCTATTTAGGTACAAAGTCAATTTTAGTTCAACCACCACATGGTGCAAGTTGCGTCTCATTATAGACAAAACAATTAGTTTGTGAAATTGGGGATTTTTTCTCGTAGAGTTTGACAGCTTGAGAGGTCTGAAATATTTTTTCCTCGAAATATACCTTATGTGGAATAAGCAGTCACTCCTCAGATATTCATTCAAAGTGCAGTATTTATATTGAAAAATTCAGATATAACACACTTCGGCTAAATTATTTGAGGTGTATGTGGTCAAAAAATGGTAATATTATTACTGAGCTTCAAACACTTTACGCAAGCCCTTCACTTGATATTAGACCAAACTTGGCACGGAAGAAGAGATACTTATGAAATAATTTTTTCACAAACATTCAAACGAGATTCCGGGAGGTTCAGGAGGCAGCCACGTGACGAATAAATTATTTGCGAAATATTCAAGCAGTTACTTTTTAATGTAGTAAAATCAGCGCAATTTTTTTCGAATACATTTGTGGTGGTCGCCAAAATGGCTGGACCTCTGATGCGGAATGACCCAATAGCCAATTCTTCCATTATATAATCGTGTCAATGTGAGCCAGTTAAAGAACACTGGTACCTTTGGCATTTTAATACGTAACTGTACAGTACTTAATTTTACAAGCTACCTGCGCTGAATACCTTCTTAATGCGCATACCGTCATGTATGCTCAGTGGCATTGTGCTTTTGTGCAATACAGATAAAATATGTATACGTTGTTGCGCGTCGTACTGTATTCCTTTTAATAAACTAATCGAAGGAGTACCATGGTAGATCTCCAGAAATACACATGCAGCTGTGTTGATGCATACTTAAGCATAGAACTTGACATTCACTTAGATTGGTAGTCATGCAGCTAATGGAACATTATCAAGTTGGAGCAGCACCTTTTAATTTGCCCGCACGAGCAAGCTGAAAGGCTAAAGTAAAGTTCATACTACGGCACGAAAGGTATATAGATTCTGCCGCAGCGCGATTTTTAAGGCGTTTATTGCTCAGCATAGCTTTTCTAGCATTTCTCATTGTAGTGGAGCCCGATGCCACTGAATATGCTTGCTATGCGTTCAATTTATCCTTACACATAAGAAAGCAGTTAGTTAGGCATGGAGCACGCTGTATGTCGCACTCTTTGTTAAATTTTAGTCATTGTTCCTTGTGTATTTATTTCAGGTTTCCAAGATTGAATTTCCTGTACAAAAAGAGCAGCTTCGCCCCTCTTCTCTCGAAAGCACCAGTCATCTCAGCAGCTGAAGATGATTGTGCAAGCAGCAGTGACGAGTGGTTTTGCAGTTAGAAGTATATCAAAACTGACATTACATCAATACAACCCAAATTACACTACCTTGTTGAATGTTCTCTTCTCAATGTCGAAATTTATACTGCGAGATGTAATAGGTTGTAAATGTGACTGCAGAAACTCGCTTACTCTTTCTACGTGTTTTTTTTCTTCTATTCTATAGGTGTCGATCAAACGCCATACGTCTCAGTCATTTGCCCGACTAGCGCAAATGTTTTGAAATTTGGAGATTTATTGTATTGAAAACAATGTATTTTTAGTATAGAGAGAAAGAAACTTGGTCCTGTGACATAATTCAAAATTTTGCAGAATGCCATCAGAGTCCTGTTTGTCAGATTTGCAGTTTTTCTATAATAAAGGCAAATGTTAACATGTGGGCTTAATTGTTTTTTGCTTCGGCGTTATGTTTGGTTGGACCTTACGCTACAGGTTACTGCTTGTACTACTGTGGTGTGGTGTGGTGTGGTGTGGTGTGTGTGTGTGTGTGTGTGTGTGTGTGTGTGTGTGTGTGTGTGCGTGTGCGTGCGTAAGTGCGTGCGTAAGTGCCTTCCGCGTTTTTGTCGTTTACAGCCCAGTATACGTACACATATATACGCTGGTCTCATGCAGCTTATTCAAGACCATGGCACCTTATTTTATCAGCTGCATGCATGCAGGTATAAGTGCAGTGAGTGACACCAGTATTTTCCTTTTTCCCTGTCAGCCACAGAGAGGTTCACATATGTTTCTCCCTGAGAACAATCGAGGCTTGGGCCAGTTGGTGATGCATATTTGATGGAATGAAGTGCTGTGAACGGCTCTCCTGAACACATAAATCTAAGCGTCACCTCTTGTGTCTCTGCTTTTGTTGCATGTTAATTGCGCTTCAATTGATCAAGTATGCTCATGCATATAACTGTCATCGTTTCAAGGGGGTTTTCAGTGTACACCCCACTCGCATGGGTGTAGCTTCATCCAACAACCATAAATTAGGGGTGTTCATCAACACCTATTAATGTAGGGTGTAACGTTTCTTTACACCCTACGGTTTCAGGGTGTTTCTAAACACCTTATTGTTTAGGGTGTTCCTAGACACACTAATGGGGTGTTCCTAGACACACTAAAGCCCATGAGACAAAACAAGTACACCCTTATGGACGTAAAAATTTTAGAGTGTAGGTTCGAACGTCATACGTTTCAACTTCGACCTGTAGTTTGGAGATCCAACTATAGATTTCCATGTTGAAGAGATAAAATCAGTTAACTATACGATAAGGCTAGCTTCAGCGCATATGCGGTAAATGTCCTCTTTGAGTAGCGTTGCATGCAGATCCACTTCGCGTAAAATAGCATCGCGCAGTTTCTTTACCCACATTGAAGAGTTTGAGGCCATCTCTCGAGCAATCACAACTTGGACGTGATCATCTGGCAGACGTGGTTGCCTGGGTTTGCGGGGGAGACGCTGAGCAGATCCATTCGGCATCCGTGAATCGGACGCGCTTCCCTGGCCAGTTGGCTATGCCGGAGCGTTCGATGCATGCTTGTGTTGCTTGTTTCCGTGGCTAGAGATCCGTCCGGCTTCTAGGATGGCTTGTTCGGGGGTGATCTCAGTTCCTTTGACGGCGACCACTTCTATGGTTAACGCGGCTGCGATTTCTGATGGTAGGGATTAGCGTGGGCGAGTCAGATGGTTTCGGGTGGCACCGGCGTCGCGGCGAGGAGCAGCTGTTGTCGCAGCCGCCCCGCCAGCGTCGGGCGGCGCGAGCAGTGCGAGCTCGTCGTTAGGGTTAGCGTCTCTATCACCTTGGCTGGGAAATGCTCGTTCACCAAAATTCTTCCGTGTACTGTGGTCCAGGGCTGGCAGTATTGGAGCTTCGGTGGTTCCAGTCGTTGAAAAGGGCAACTTAAGATATTCAGAAGTTGGAGCTCAACGCTGGCCGTTCTGCATGCAGGAGCAAGTAGGTGTGCTTCTGCTCTGCATCATGTCCAAGGCGTCTCTTGAAAGAAATAAATGAGGCGGACTTATACTGTCGCCGCAGATGTTTCTTTCAGGTCACGTACGACCACCCGAGATTATCCATCTCCTGCTTTAGTATGGCACGGTTGCAAGTGCTACCTGCTGCATTACTATTGCGTTCGGCTCAATCATCTGACAAACGAATTGCAAATGTAATTGACAAATGAGTTCTGATACGTTCTATTTTGCGCGACAATCCGAGTTGTTTTTAATTGTTACCACCTCTATCGAAGTGATAGGGCTTTCAGCCTTTGAGGGTGCTACATGACGCGTTCCTGACTTTCGTGTTTCATTAGTGGCATCTTTGTGTTCAGCGAAAAGGAATGTATTGCTCCGGAGTTTCGCAACTTGTTTTTACCGGTGTATGATAAATGATCAGCTCAAGCACTTGACGTTGTATAAGTGGGAACACTTTGAGGTATTTAGGTTTATTTTAGTAACTTTAAACAGCAAAGATTTTGTTACCATCATCAACTCACTAGATAATATTTTACCACTTTGCGAAAAACGTTCTAGGAGCTTTGAATTCACGGGTGAGCTTCCCACCAGTAATACATTGCAGTTTTGAGGCTTGAAAACCTCTTTCTCGGAGGAACATATGGCTGCGCTCAATGTCCATATCCACCCTTTGATGCTGCTCATTCAAAACTTGTTAAAAAGGCCGAAGTCTCTATGCGTTTTGAGGGGTTGATGCCTCGCTGTGGAAGTCATGTCCTCACAGCATGCAGGGTACATTTATGAATCAAGTTTAGCGGCTGCATTCAGCTTGCTATCCTCGCTCTGTTGTACAGTGAGATCCCTCGAGGAAGTGACGAAATAAATAGTTCACAATTCACTAAAATTATATTCACTGAAACACAGAACAGCATTAGACACGGCAAATGTCAATTGAGAAAAGTGACATGCGAATAATTTTAATAGTATCATGTAATTTCAGTTTTATCACGCCTCCTTAAAAAGCAGGAAATGACAAATCTACGCACAGAGTACGTTTCTTTGCGCTGCCTCTGGCACAGCTTGCATGCTGTTACACAAAGTCCCGAAAATTTCTAATATATCCGACAGCCTAGGTTAGAGATGCAGGGTTTAAACTTGCCTCTGCCATTACACCTCGTCAAACTCTTCTATCGGTTCTAGACGAATGCTGGAACCAATGTTCGAATCTAATGCTTCTGCGCAGCTGCTGAAGCGCACGTGGCTCTTTTCCGTCTGTCTAGCGCACGGCCGCTGTGCTTCGGTGGCATCGCACGTACTACTGCCGAAGGGTGGGCGATTTGGATGCGCAGCGCTGCTGAGTGCAATAACTCTAGAAGTGAAGTTACTTCGAAAAAAAAACAGCCTGGGACCGTCGATAAAGTTCGTTCAAGTGAAATATTCACCATGCAGAAGTTTCGTTAAGTCACAGACTTACTATAGATTGCATAAAATAACAGCTAGGAATTTTCTAAATGTTCGATATTCTGAAATATTCATTAAAGGGGTCAAGCACCACCCCTCGTGTTTGGAGTGAAAAACGCCGTGGAATGAGCCGGGAGCTGAGATAATGTTTTTGCAAAACATAAAGAAAAACCATGAATATAGAGCGATTGCAACATTTACGTGTCGCATTCCTTCATTCCGCAGAACTCCCTTGCCTTCTCCCTTTGTTCTTGTCCTTCATTCCGCAGAAGAGGGCAGCTCCGTTCTCGGCATCCCGCCAAATGCATTACTTTACATTAAAGATGATCTTTCTTGGGGACCTTCGACGCAAAAACTTTGGTCTGTCTGTCTGTCTGTCTGTCTGTCTGTCTGTCTGTCTGTCTGTCTGTCTGTCTGTCTGTCTGTCTGTCTGAGTGTCTGTCTGTCTGTGCAATTGTCTGCTTGTCAACTTTTAACGGCATCGGGTACTTGAAACGGCTGACACCATCCGCAGTGCCCACCAATATTGCTCAAAATTCAGCGTTCATACTTAAGTAATTGTCAACTAAAAAGCAATAATTGCGCATGTCTGCGGCACCATAACAACACGCATATATTTTGCATGTGCGTCTTTTGCTAGAAAAGGCATACATAAGTAATTTTGCGGACCGTAGCGTTTCTTGGGACGTTAAACCCCACAAATCAATCGTTGCGCTTATCGCACTGCGCTGACCGTGCAACGCGTGCACGAAAAGGCGATTGTTTCCAAGGCTTTGCTAAGACGAGACGGTAATGGCACCTTTGCGTTCTACACCTTATCACCCCTGAGACGGGCGCACACAACCGTCTCAGAGACACGCGATTTGTTTTCTAAGAAAACTGCCAGATGGCGCTTATGTCTCACGTGTGACGCGACTTGATGCGTTCGTTCGCCTCCGCTGCACGCTCGAGGCACTCTAATGCAGCGCTTGCAGAATACCATTCACCGATTTTCTTACGCATAACACCAAATGAATGTTTTGTTCACTCTCTCCACACGTAAGAATCGTCTTTCGACGACATTTGCTGATGAACATGCAGATACGGGGCAAATTTATTTTGTTGTGTGGTTCTTTTTCTGCGTAACATGGCGGCGCTGACGGCTGGTGCTGTCAATTCATAGTCGGGTCGGCCGCTTCTCGCTTCGCTGTAGTAGCTTTAGCTGCTGTAGCTGTATGCGCGGTCTGATGCGGTCTCTCCACCCGGATGAACGGGATGGCGCTTTGAGCGCGCGTTGGGGTTTTGTTCTGGAAGCGAGGGCATGACTACTGCTTTTCCGTTGGCGGACCAGCGTTTCTTTTTCAGTTTGAAGCAAAGCCTCCCTGGAGCACTGTAAACAGCTTAAGCTGACTGGGAAGATTCAATCAGGTTTTGCTTGTTTTGCTAAGAAACAAGAAATGAGTTATCATTAGGAATCGCCTGAATTATTGTTAGCTCCCCCACAGAATAAACTCGAAACGCAGGCTGAACGTAATCCTTCACGGCCGCCGTGTGTTGGCAATAGAGGTGACTT